AAAATATGTCGCAATGATTTGCGACCAACAGTTATTGAGAACTCTCCACAATGTTATGTAAACCTAATGAAAAAAATGTTGGGAAAGAGATCCAATAAACCGCCCGTCAGCAATAGAAATTTGTAAAATCCTTGAAGAATGGCAGGGAGATGAAAATATTTTGTCCGAATTAGCTAAATCAGATGAAATGTTAAATAGTATTAAAAACACACATATGCAAGCATATCCTATAAAAGCAAATTTATTGAATATACTACGGTACCTCCAGGTAACTATCTTTTTTTTTAATAAATAAGATTTATTCATTTATTTATTTATTTAATAGTAATTATAATTATTAACAGATAGTGAATTGAACGAGTTGAGTATTATAGAGTGATAAAAAATATTTATATATATTTATAAATTTAAACATTTAATAAAGTAGCCGTTTTTTGCAACGCAAACCATATACGTATTTTAAACTTTATAATTTATTTAGCCGTAACTATTTGTGACTCGTGAGATGAATTGTTACCTAATACGTATACAAAGCTTAAAAAAAATGTTTTTTATGAACTGATCGGTGCTGATTGGCCTAAACTATAATCTTATCCATACCCTAGCAAAACTCTAATTTAAGCCAATCGACATCAAGTTGTATCTGAGGTACGTACGTACGTACTGTACATGTTTATATATGAATCGCACGATTCGGTTTAGTTTAAATTTAAAAACCAATTAGGATTTGTCTTGAACTACATACGTAGTACGTACGTATGTACGTAGAAATCAGGAGATTTCCTATTATAGGGTCTTGAAAACCGATGTAAAAATGGTATTATTTGTATCTTCTAAGAAAACAAAGAACTGATAGAAAAGCAAACCTATTTTCTACTTTAGTATATTGTGAAGTTAATTAATTACAGCTTATAAAATTAGTTTTAACCAAGTATGTACGCATGTACGTACGTATGTAAACAGAAGTACTTACTTATGTAATTCACTAATATAGTCAAATATGTTGTTGTTGCCCAAAGCAGAATAACGTTATCTCGGTTTTCGGTAAAATGAATATTCCATCAACCATTTTTATACGTTCAAAAGTCATAAGGAAAAAACAAAATAATAAGAAGAAACCAACATGATAAACAGTTCGCCTTACTTGAAAATGTTTACATATGAACGTGTTATACGGTTATTTGTTTAATATATGAATTAATATATGAATTATATGAATTAATAAAAATGATTTTAATATATGATTTAATATATTATTAAATATATTATTTAATATATGATATGATTTAATTATATGGCTAAACTTGATTATAATCAACTATGCCAATGTACGTACGTACGTACCTTTATCAAAGTACCTTCATAGTTACATACTTGTATGAAGGTATAGTATAAACAAATGTACAATAGTAAGTACCAATTGTTTATTTCAAATAAAAAGTATATTATATCACAACGGTTAGGTAATGGTAATGGTAATGTATACGTATATGGAAAAGTGAATAAGATGGAATAAGACATTATTTAATCAATAAGAATAACGATATTTTACATAGTTTGGTAACCGCCAATAATGGGAGGTTGATCATTATAAAACAAAACAACGTAACCGGATCATTATTTAGCGGTTCCATATGACGCAAAACAAACAACAAATACAATCATACAACGATTGTTTGATCTACAGCGAGTATACTCTATTGTATGGTTCGCATAGGTGCTGTGTACCAAATTAGGCAAACAGCATGTCTTTACGTAGAATTTTAGAAGAAATTGAATCTATGGTACAAGATTTTGATTTGCAAAATAATAACATATCGTGAGAGCTTACATCACACCATTCCTAATTTAACAATAGATGATTGTAAAATCTTTAAATCTCAATTAGTTACAAACCCTTTGTTTAAAATATATGGGATTAAATTATTTTTTGAGCGGAAATTATAATATAATTATTGATAAAGTTATATACTGTATATAAAACCTGCTATTTCATTTTTTCAATTTTTTTTTTAGAAAATTTCATAATAATTTTCATCCTATCTATATTTATATATGTGATGCTTTTTTTTAATTCAAATTTCTGGTAAAAAATTTTATGAAAAAAAAACGATAGAATCGATAATTTTGAAAAAAAAACGTTTATGTAAATTATTTTCACAAACTCATTGAATAAACAAAATAACATTTGTATATATGATCATTTATTCACACTCGCATATAAAATTAATAAACACATACTTTTTATCGTAATTTATATAACATTTAAATTCCCGCATATATAAAATACATACATAGAATCAATTCACATTTTTAGAAGAGATGATGAATCAATCAACGAATCAAAGTCAAAAACCTCAGATACAAATAAGGCGTCCAATATCCGATTTTGAATACTTAAATCCAACTCGAGAAAATGATTCGATAATGGATGGTTTTCATTATAAATCTGGTCGTCGATATCATTTTCTTGAAGGTGTAAAATATCCTCTGCCTTGTGATTCTGAAGAAACCTACCGCTTAAAATTAAATTATTCTATTTCAAGATATTGCTGGAAAGGCAATATTTTCTATTCACCCCTGGAAAATGAATTGGCCAAGGGTGGCATGAGAGTTTTGGATGTCGGGTAAGTAATCCTTGAGATTCAATAAATTAAAAAATTCGTAATTGTTCATATATTTATATAATTATAAAATTTATCTAATTGTATTTATTATATTTCTTATATTTATTATAATTATATTTTTTTTTTATTTCATTAAAGATGCGGTCCTGGTGGTTGGCTATTAGACATGGCAACCCAATTTCCAAATTCTACATTCGTTGGTGTTGACATCTCATCTATGATCCCAAAGGATCAACAACCTTCAAATTTGGGTTTCTTACAATGTAATATACATGATGGTTTGCCATTTCCTGACGAAACCTTCGATTTCGTATTTATGTCTCATATGTTTACTTCAATAACTAAAAATCAATGGCAAGATGTTGTAGATGATTTAGTTAGGGTGACAAAACCGGGTGGTTGGATTGAATTAATGGAAAGTGACTATATAAATTCTACGTCTGGTCCTGTAACCCGTGAAATTCAAACTCAAAATTGTATACTTATAAGTTCAAGAGGAATAGATCATAATGTTGGTCCTAATGTTTATAAATATTTTGAAAATAATGTTGACCTCGAGGATGAAATATTCACTGGTCATACTGTTACTCCTCTTGGTAATGGAACTGTTGGAGAGTTGGTTAGTATTACTTTAATTTAATTTATTTAAATTATTTAAATTATTTAATTTATTCTTTAATTTATTCATTAATTCATAAATATAAATATAATTTAAATGTGAATGTGATTTATTGATTTATTCGTTTAAACATTTCGTAGGCTTTTAAAAACTACAAGGCTTCTCACTTTGCAGTTCGATTACATGAATATATGGGTATATCAGCACAAGAATTTGAAGAAATGTTTAAAATATGTCAAAAGGAAATGGACGAATATAATACTGTTCTTA